TAATGAGCCATCGACGATCATGTGTGCATTGTGCTCTGATAAATGACTTGTTTGTGTGCGTTCCTGTTCTGCAACTGTCACTTGAGCAGAGTGCGCGCGTGAGATGTGATGGCGCAGTGGCAAAAAGTGAGAGCAGATTTTTCCTTCCTTCATCTACTTATTCAGCTGCAGCTACATGGCTAGTATATAAAAGAGCCGGTGAGAGAAAGCGGCGTCAGTAGCAGCCAGCCGTTTTCCGGTCGTTCTATCTCGTTTCATCGATCACTCTTGTGCGAGTGACTGTGTCACCGACCGACCATTGACGACAGTCACCGACGTACACCGTTCATCACAAACGGCCAGCAGCGATCAATGCGATGAACTCTTTTCAAGAAAAGAGGTACGTGTTTCTGGCTGGAGAGCCAGGGGCCGGTGAAAGCAGTTTCCGGAGGTTTCGAGGACCACCTGCTCGCGAAAGCCTTAGATGCTCCTCACAGGGTTACATTTCGATTGTTGAGTGCGACGCGGATGGAAAATACCTCCTGTTGTTGAATAATCACCGATCAAGAGATCAGAATATGGATCGATGGAAGGTTGTGCGACGCGTTAATGGCACAAACGAGACAACGTATGAGCTGCCGATGGATTTTCAGTTAAAAGCTGGTCAGTCAGTGAAGATTTGGGCTGGAAGGCCAGCGGTCAAAGCGGATAACGATTTAGTTTTCGAAGAAATCACAAGTTGGGGAGTTGGCAGAAATGAAGTCACTACTTTGTACAACAAAAATGACCAAGAAAAAGCAACGCTTGTGAAAAATGAGAAGAAATAAACATATCTGATTCTACATAGAAAACGAATTTATGCCGTAAATAGCTGTACCCTTGAATTTTCATAGTTTTGCTCGTAATCACGGTATTTATATTTATAACGCTGAGCTGGAACTTCCTGTAAGTGAATGCCATTAAGTTACTATAAAAGTGAAACTTCGATCATTTGTCCTTGTTTTCATCTAACTGTCATCGAAACGGAATGCCATGCGAATGCACAGGTGCAGGGCTTCCACTCAGCGTGATTCATTGCCAAGAGCCGATCGTATTGTCGTCGGTTTGTTCTTTCTTTATTCTAATATCGTACCACCGTTCAAAAAAGAAATGCTCCAATTGTTGGCTACTCAACTTCATAGTCATGTGCTTCCAGTTAAGGAAACTGCGGTTGTCGTCCGACTAACTCACAAAAAGAAATGGACTCCAGTGACGGTTGGTCTGTGAGAACTGCACGTCGGACTGTAGCTAATTCGCTAATCTCCCTGCTAGCGTGTCATTGCTTTTCGTCACCCGCTATCAGACGAAACTGAACTGGTTTGTTCACTTTTGTCCTGTCGTCAAGATGGATATGCATGAAACAAGAAGCAAGATTCTTTGAAGAATTAAATTCTGCGATCGTCAAAACGGTATGCTACTTTAAAATCATGATGCATATGTTGTATTACGTTCGGTATTACCGTCGTTTGTGCGGTCCAGAACCGGCAGAATCTGTTGTAGCAATGCAACGCACTTCCTGCTCAACCGTGATGTCAATGTTGCTAAACTGTCTAGAAACTGGTAGTGGTATTTTCAAGGTACAAGCCTCATAAAAGTGAGCATTCTTCCTGAACGATAATATTGCTGTTAGTGTATTAACTTATCCTGCTTTTTTATTGCTCTTAGCCAAATTTCAATTTGTGTTATAAATTTACTGCCTTTTCACTCATACTACGTTTTATAGAGGAAACTACGCCATTAACTGATGTGATGTTGTGCCAAAAGCGGTTTGCAAATTATGCAAAAAACCACATAGGCGTGAAGAAAAATTGGGTTTAATCGTTCAAAAGAAACATTATGAAACATAATACCTCATGATGAAAGATCTTGTCGGAAATATATTAGAAAATGAAAATTAATCACAAGAGTCGTTCTTTATAAGTTATACCTGATGCACATTGTAGCGACTCATGATCCTTAAAACTGATATTCTTACTGACAGTGTCACAGAATGAAGTCAGTTTCCGTTTTTTAGAAGTGAATCACCGAGAAACTTAGAGCAACAACTCCAGTATGAGTGAAGCCTGTTACAAAGTGATCTTTTAACAGAGCATTCCATCTGTTGACCTGCTGTAAACTTACGTAGGCCCAATATATCTATTAAATATTTAGAAAGCATAAACAGAATGTTTTATTGTATAGAATTTAGAATCGGAATGTCATTTTTCAGTACCTGCCGATGTTATAGATGTCCCCACTCTTTCTTAATGCAAACGACCTCAAACGTGACATATGATACTCCTCAATTTTGTTCCGACGTTTCGACTACCGGCATAAAAAGCATCATTAGAGAAATTTTTTACAACACTCACTTTCACTCAGTTGTTTTCGCAACACCCAATGCTACATACATTAAAAATTGTAAGGAGATTTGATTGTGACTTAGTTTTTATACAAAAGACCATGTTAGCATATATTTATCGTTAACGCTTGTTGTCAGTTAATAAATTAAAACATGCCAGTCTGAGGTTTGCCAGAAAATTGACGGCTGATTTGAAACTTAGGAAAATACTGCCAAGCTGGGAGACTCGTGCCTCGTTGTTAAATTCAGTTGCAAGCCAGTGAGCAAAGATTTTCAGTGCTGCTCGGAAGATCGCAGTTCGCGGATGCTCGTAGCTTTGTTCGATATTTGCCATGGCGCTGAGTCAGCTTCTATAGCACAGTTTCGAAATAGCGATTTCACATACACACGCAAAAAGAGAACGCAGGCGATCACTCATAGTTAGTAATCGAACTGAATTGCTCACTGTTCAGTTAATTTTGTTTACCAAGCCCTGCATTTACACACTTCACGCCACAAAATCCGCTGACAAAACCTGATTCTTTCGTCTTATGCTGCGTTTGGCGAACTGTGAGCCTATAAATGCTACAATTGTGTCGTTAATGACCGCATGCAACAGAATCTGGTCCTGCCGTCAGTTACTGTCACGTGGCCGGCGGCCATTTGCCTGTTTGCCAGTAGCCATGAGAGCCGATACTTATTTTTGAGGGTCTCACGAACCACGTCAGTCACCATTAGCTGCAACCCAACTATTGACAGCTACACGGCCGTTGCTTGCCAGCGAAACTGCCCATTTAGTTTGGCAACACCGGATAACCTAACTCATTTTACGTGAGCAAATTTAGTAGCCTTTTTCTGAAACATGGGTTCTTGCCAAAGACGCCACAAAAATGCCTCGTTTTTTAACAAGACCTTCTGTCATTTCAGCGAATCCCACGTGATGGGCGACTTTAACTTCGAGTGTACAAGGAAACAATGTTAATAAAACAATCACTGGCCTTATTGACGGTGACTCGATGCACTATTTAGTCCAGAATGTTAATTGCGGATAAACATTCGAGAGCACATTCGACGCACAATTTCAAGTCAAGTCAAGCTTTCGTTGAAATCGTTAAATTACATTTCGAGACTTTTGCTACTCGCTAGAATTTTTATCATCGTCTGACGATTATTCACTTCGGAAATGCCATCTTTCGGTACGAAGCACAACATGCACAAACTAAAACGATGTGAAGAATTTTAACGAAAAATTTCTCCTTCCTCACCTCTCGTCAAATG